TCGTTGGCTTCACTCTCATCTGTACTCCTCGTCTTCATCATTGCATTCAGGTGACAAGTCCACCGTGCACCACGCCGTCTACGGCGGCATCAGAGACATCACATGCAAGTACCGAGGCGCGAACACGAGAAGCCTCAAGCGCCGCTGTGGACCGTAGCTCTTCCCCATCAATCGTCCAAACTCGGTCTCCACGTCGAACACACCTTGCACGAGTGGCGCAGTGGCAACCACATCCCAAGAAGAGAAAATCGTCTAAGTCCACCCAATGAGGAAACAGCTTGCTTACTAAGTGTTTAGAAAAAAAAATCGTCCCGGGCGTTTGTCAATCGAAATAAACCTTGAATGACCATTGATCAATCGGAACTTGTCTTGTCCATCTGCTTCTACCCACCAAGTTGTCTCATTGCTTCGCTGACTCGTCTTATGGCGCTGCCATTTGACATACCAATCAGAGCCATGTAGCCCTAGAGAGTCAAAGCCAAATAAGTTTCGTATGGAAAAGAAATGGGATTTATTTCAAAATAAATGATTTTCTGGTCTTTGGGCTGCTATGGCATCCACAGGAAGCGTATGAACACAAGAGCACCCTCGTTTGATCCGCAAAAATTTAGCGCTTCTGCTGTGCTTGATTTGAAACGCACAGCAGACAGAATCGCCGAGCACGACCCGAAATACTGACTGCCAATTAATCGCACCTGCCTCAATCCCAAGAGCAATATGTTGTTACAAAAAGGGAATACATATGTTACTTTCAAGGAGGTGACCGAACTATCCCGCTGAACAACATATTAAGGTACATTCTAAAGAGATGTCGTTGTGTGTGTGTGTGTGTGTTGTCTGACATCTTTCGTGTGAACTGTCATGTGGTAGTTGTGAGCGAATCGTCTGACAACAGGGAGGTGTCTGACAACCACTGCGCTCCCGCTGCTGAGGGCATCGGGGGGTGGAGGATGGCGGTCGGGGTGACGATGCGTCAGGCAAGGCAAGACAACAGGGTAGAACATCGATTGGGCAACGTCTTCTGGTAGCAACTCAAAGGACCCATGCTCAGCATGAAAGGCAAGAGGTGCAAGAGGGGGGAGGGGGGGAGAACGGCGCTCAGCGCATGTACATGGTTACGGACACTTCGGTTGATCCCAGCATGACGGCCTCCTCGCTTACGGACGTCAATCCACCGAGTTGGGCAACATCAGCGCCCGCATCTCGCTGGGGTGGGGAATAGCTCACCACCATCAAACATCCATGCCGCTGTATGCGTTTTAAGAGTCCCTCCAACTGAGAACTTTGCACCGCTCCGCCCATGGAGTCAGGGTTGTGGGTATCGCATGAGTAGCACAGCACGACCGCAGCCAAGGGCGCCAGCTGGGTCACGGCCTCTGTGTCCTGGAGCGACACGCGGTGAAGTGCCTCCTCGTCCTCCTCGTCCTGGGTCACCGCTGCTCCTTCCGCCTCGACCTCTGCTGCCATCATGGCCCAGTAGAGCGGACGACCTAGCGTGTGTTGGACGCGACGGTCCCGCGCCAGTTCCACCGCGTTGACAAACGCCACCCCGCGCTTTCCCATGGGCAGCATGGGTTGAAGCTCTGCCACCCAGGTGCGTAGCTGTGCTCGAAGCGCCAGTGGACTCGGACCGTCCCCTGCCGCCATGCTGCCACAAGCGGGTCACTGTAAAACCTACGCCTTGAGGCAAGGCACAGCCACCCAGCCTGTATTACAGCCTCAGCCTCACCAATCAACCCTCAGCTGCGGGGTTTTGTTGAGCCTCCAGGCCTTGATGGGACAACCACCACGAGCCAGCCAGCCAACACCCAACAACATCAAGGTCAAAAAAAATCATCCAACGTCAATCGATCAGATCTACTTTTGTGATAAAGATGAAAAAAAATCAACCACAACGATTTTTTTTTTTTTGGGATGGGAATAATCGATTCTTTGAATCAGGTGGATCTCTCATGCACACTGTCACAGAAGTTAAACATCCAATCGAGAACATGGCCACGCTGGTGCTTGCACAAAGAGATGGCATACTTGCACACTTCCATGGCGGCTTTTGGACTCGCTCATTAGTCTTGCTTTTGGTCGTGCAAGTCATTCAATCCCAGGACAAGCCATTGCTGTAGGTACTGTTGCCTAAAGGCATTTGCCCCAAAATCCCGCGACCACGGTCTTGGTGAGATCACATTGTTGTGGCGTGGGCAGGCAGGGCAAGGGTCACATTCGAGGCATGTCCAGCCGATACCCACTTGAACAGGGCAAGATTGGACGCGAGGCGACCCTTGTGTGTGCGGCCCGAATGCTTCTCTGCTCAAACCCAGAAACACGAGCAAGCCATATCCGTGAAGATAACGAAATGACAACAGGTGGAGGATGGGCGGCTTGCTTGCATGATGGGCGGCTTGCTTGCATGATGGGCGGCTTGCTTGCATGATGGTCGGTTTACTGCACCTTGGTGAAAGTCGCTGGCAAAAGCTAGAATCTGCCAGCCCATAAAATCAAGTTGCCTTTCCAGCGGATAGCGCTTCAAAACCTCTTGCAGGCTATGTCGGTGCAGCGTTTGACCTTCACGCGGCAAAAAGCGCACGATTTGCCCATCCGGACCCAGCATGGTCTCCCACACCGTGCGTGGTGCTGCCGGCCAACTCCCCACTAGTCCTCGCCATTCGTCCAATTCGTTTGCCCTGTAGCCGCACGAGGTCATTTCCGTGTTTCAGCACACCCAACGTCAGGCACCTCGCCTGCGACGCGACTTGTCTTCCACAGCCAAGCAAAAGTAGAAGATACGAACATACCATCGGTCATTTCTGTGATCCCTTTTCAGCAGGGATAGGTACCGCTCGGCGTTGCGATGGCCTGGAAGCAAGACAGAGTAAGCACGCCCCGGGTTCATCAAGATGCCTGAGGGCATGTCTTTTCCTTGATGCTTCGCAGCTTGAACCCTTCTCGTTGTGATGAGCGCCAATAGGACAGGCCTTTTCTCCAGATGAAGACGCACGGGAGACGAAACAGATAAAAATCAAGCCAGCAACGTTGTTGAGTCATCAAATACTTTGCGTGGACTGCTCACCTGCCACTGAAAAACAAAAAGCATCGTATGGGTCTCGTCCCTGCCAGGTCCAGGCCATCGATCGGTAGCATCAGCACAGTTTCTTGATATAAGATCTCAGCCAACGGGAGGACAGACAGCGGCACAGTTTGTATTCTAGTAGAGCTGTACACTCAGGATATAACAAGTACGCACCAGACGGGCCGTGTGCGCAATGACCTCCATGTCCTTGAACATGCGTCGGAGGCCCAGCTGGGTCCAATATTGCAACTGTTCCTCACTCGCCCTGGCACACATGAACGACTGAGAGACCATGTCTTGGTGGGACTACAGTCCAGCCTCAGGCATGGCAACGCGCTGGATCATAGCTCTCTTCATGACTGCCTACCGTAGAGGGCTTCGCAGTCCATCGAGCGAGCAGCCCACCAAGAGCCACAGTTCCACCATACACTCGAGCCTATGGGGGACATGATGCGCTTTGTCAAAGCACGACTGCCTCGCATGCCCAGGAGCAGCGATATGGGGTCAGACGTACGTCAAAGCAGCCGGACCCAGGTCGCAGTGCTGGGTACAGGCTGAGCCGATGCAAAACAAGCCGTGGTAGCTGTACAACTGGAAGCGCTGGATTGACTTGGCGACAGTCATATAGGTGGGACGAAGGCAAGTGCGCAGCACGGGTTGAAGACGCTTTTGTGCAGCGGACACGGAGCGCCGAGGGGTAGCAGACAGCTGAACTTGATCGCGACACTCGGGTACCACACCCACCAATGAACGCACATCCGCACTATCGGTCAGTCCACACAATGATCGATCATAGCCAACGTGGAGTGATAAATCGAGCATGAGATGAACTGGGTTGCCAGGGTCACTGAAGGGCCAAGGTACACGAGTCAAGTACCCGATAGTGACGTCCATGGCGACCGGAACAAAGTCCGGACTGGGTTGCTGCACCCAGCGCGAGGGCGCTAGCATCAACCGGCGGTCCTTGCTGTAAGAACATGCCCCAGCCAAGGACAGATCAAATGAGCTCGATGAGGCAGGGTCGTGGAAACGCTTGCCCGCCAGGCAGGATCCCCCCTTTAAGAGCAGCGCACATACGCATCAAACGCCCCGACGAGCAGAAAAGACCCAAAGCGGTCGTCATGATGGAAGGAGAACTGGGCTGAAACCCCAAAAACGAAAGACGACATGTCGGAGCCTGAAGCATCAAAAGGGCCTTTTTGGTTTCTATCAAAATGATCATGTAGAACAAGGTACTTGAGTGTTTCAGCGAGCATACGGAGCTCTATATTGCCATCGCTGATTGGACAAGTGGCCATGCTTTTTTATTGTGCATCCTCGCGGCGCAGTACCCTGCATTTACCTGGACAACCACGAGAGTGGGAGATTTTGCACTGTCAAGATGGACAAGGTGGCGGCTTGTCGGCCTTGACACCAGTAGTAGCCTGCGGTGTTCAAGGGCTCATGAGCACGGCGCGTGACGATATTTGACATGGACGGCATGCGCAAGAAGCAATCTCTGCGGCAGGGTGCAACGGGGCAAGTCGACCTTGCCAACGCGCGCGGCGCAATAGCTTGGCAATGGCAAGCGGCTCGTTAATGGGGGCTAAGCATCCCGCATCAAAAGTTTGGTGAGTTGGCACAAGATCGATTTGCGATAAGGGCCATTTGTTTTGATTGGGGGAAAAACAAAAAAAAGAGAGAGGCATACCAGGCGTAGGGGCGGGTCGCTCACAGCTGATGAGCTGAGGGGGCTGTCGATCAACGTCTCGACAGAGCACGCTCATTCCCACGAATATGGTGTATCTGCACGACACCAGCAACGATCATTGAGTTGCAAATGGTAAGAGAAATGCCCTGTTCCGGCTGGAGCACGCAGAAGAGAAGTAGCGTGAAAAAAAAACAGCAAAGAAAGGATAAGTGCGTACCGGCAGGTCTGATCCTCGGTTGCATTCAGAATCGTGACTGTCTTGTCATCAATAATAGACGCCTGGGACGCATAGAGCATGGCACAGTCTGTGAGTACATGTAATACAGGCGCTGCCAGCAATGAGGGTGTCAGGGGTCTTGGGAGGGGCAAGGGTTGGGTGGCAAGCATGGGCCATAACGCACATCGGCCTGGCCGCGAGGCAGGGCACAGACAAATCGTACAGATGTGGCTCGGGGGCCACCTAGACGTTGGAGCGCATCAAGGTCAACATGATGATGTCAGTCAGAGCACTGCGTGAAGCTACCCAACTACGCTTGGAAAAGCATGGGTTGGGCGTTCCGTTGATCACGTACTGGTGGCAGGACAATGCGTGCCGCGGGCATAGTTCTCCACAAAGGAAGCACTTTGCCAAAGCGTGCCGTTGGTGTTGGTGCGATTCGTCCACAAGCCCAGTACCAACACTGCTGGCAGGTCGTCATTCTTTGCCATACAAGAATGGGGTTAAACATGCGGGCACTTTAAAAGCAAGCTTACTAGGTCTTTGAAGGGTCGAGTCGAGTCAGTGTCTCACCGGGTCGTCCAGGGGCTGGCCATGGGTATCGGCATGGAATTGGGTCACATTCTGGCCCAAGCAAACACGGTAGGTCCACCAACCAAACGCCTGCGGGACGAGCATGCGCAAGCACGCAAGGGAATGCGTTAGGCGCGCCGCGATGCTTGAGCATGTTTCGGTTGCAGCATGTTTGGCCTTCTCACGTGTTGAATGCAGGGCAGTTTTTGCGCCAGTTGCTCTCGCCAGTAGCTGGGCTCATTGCTGCGTTGCACCTGCATAGCGGTCACGTGGTGAGGCATGTTGACATGCATGAAGCAGGAAGCGGGTCAGCTAAACTGCTGTTAGAGGCCGAGTAAGCTTGTGCTAACCCGTTGGCGATCGGGACCATGGTGCTGGCAAGTGAAAGTTTTGAGACCCTGCCTGACTTGATAAGTGTTCAAGAGTACGCTGCTGGCCTGCCTACCCAGCCGGGGCATCAAGGAGCCAGATCAGGACGCCGAGGCGCCAAAACCATCGGGTGGGAGGCAAAGACGAACGGTTGTGGCGCTTCCGAGGCCAGGCGAGGAAAGAGACTCAGCGTGATTGGGGCAGCAAAGTCATTGAGGTCAAACTGAGCAGCCCCAGCGAAAGCGAGCAGCGAAGCAAGGGTGAGGCGATCTGAAACGATTGGGTGTGGGTGTAGGATGCACCGTCTAATAAATCCGGCTCTGCCCCATTGTAGCCTGACGCGAAGCCAAGACGTTGGGTGGAGTGGAGTGGACAGGCAAGTGCCAATCGTACCTTTGTGTCAACGACTCCGGGGCTGGCATGGGTGAGCGCAAGCAGGAACAGGGCTGTCGTCATGCAAGTAACATGGGTCAGTGTCCAGCCCATGGCCCTGATCTTGCCTGCCGTGCAGCGAGGCACCCGTCATGTGCAGCCTGCTCACTCGCGCGACCACATCCGTCAATGTCCTGCCGTTGTGGTCACACCAGCAACCCAGTGCCGTTCTGCTGATGCCCTTTTGAGCATTCAACTCGAGTTGTCACTGCCGTCGCTCTGAAATGATTTGTCAGCCAATTTCACAGAGAGAGAGAGAGAGTTTGAGAGAGAGTTTGAGAGAGTTTGAGAGTTTGAGAGAGTTTGAGAGGGAGGTTTGAGAGAGAGTTTGAGAGAGTTTGAGAGGGAGGTTTGAGAGAGAGTTTGAGAGAGAATTTGAGAGAGAGTTTGAGAGAGAATTTGAGAGTTTGAGAGAGTTTGAGGGGGAGAGAGAGAGAGAGAGAGATTGAGAGAGAGAGAGAGAGAGAGAGAGAGAGAGAGAGAGAGAGAGTTTGAGGGAGAGACAGAGAGAGAGAGAGAGAGAGAGAGAGATTTGAGAGAGAGAGAGAGAGAGAGAGAGCAGACGAGCGTGTGCGTAACGTCGTCTGGTGTTTTTTTTTTCGATTTTGATTGATAAGAAGACTGAGGATGGCGGCGATGGTGCCAGCGGGGGCCGTGCCCAGTGGGCCAGGAGTAGAGGGCGAAGCGGCATTGCTGGAGCCGGCGAAGCATCATCTGCAGCGACGGCTTTCGGCCCATGTCCAAGACTTTTGTGCGCTCTTGCTGCAGGTTCATCAGAGTTCAAGTACGGCTCTCGTGGTCGGGCAAGGCGGCGTGTAAACACGCGACCAAGTCTCATCATCAATGACGCGTTTGCACGACATGTCGCGATCTGCGGTTTAATCCCTGTTAGAGAGCCAGGAGCGGATGGCGCGGGTAGTCAAGGACATGACGAACATGGAAAAGTCCCTGGCCAGCACCGAGGCCATGGTTGGCCACTGCGCATCCATCGTGGCTGGTGATCTCGTGACGGTATGCGCAGCGCACCCCAAACCGCACGCGCTGGTTTGCCCATCCGTCTGCATGTAATGGAGTTGACCCATTCTGTCTTACTTGCCCTTGGCGTGGGTTGGAGTGTCGCATCAGGCCCAGCACTTACAGCAGCTGTATCAGCCGCCAGTGGCCAGTCCAGGCACCGCAGATGCCCCAAACACAGACAACAAGACCTCGACTTCTTGACCAAGCACGCTCTTTGGCAATGCAAGGGTTGTGGTCCGCAAACACGAACGGAACAGCACCGAGAGAGAGAGTGTGTGTGAGACTTGATACAGCAGCAGGCCAAGGGCATGGGCGACTGACCAGGAGGTTGCGCTTTGCGTTTTCATTTTGGTGTGCTCCGGCTGCTGGACGTCTTTGGGCTCTGTGAGTCGTACGAACCGTCGCCATGACGGGGTGCCAATTGATCTTGTCACCTGATAGCCGAGTCATGAATCAAGGAGTCAAGCCTTTGGCCTCTCATCCGTTGACCTCAACACCTCTTACCAACCATCCCCTGTCCCTCCCTATCAGCAGCCCACTCCCCACAAATACCAAACCGCCTTTCCAATCCATGAACATTGCACTCGTGTCCCCACCCACCAACTCATCGCCTTCCCCGTGATCACCGACCGACTCTGATTGAACCGAACCGAACCCCCCAGCAGCTGCGTCAGGGGCGATGTGGCACAGATTGTCATCATTTTTTAGACACAGTTGGTGTTGCAAGATTTGTGTGTGTGTGTGTGTGTGTGTGTGTGTGTGTGTGTGTGTGTGTGTGTGTGTGTGTGTGTGAAAGGTGCGTGCTGGGCACTTGAGGGGGTGGGAGGGGGTGTGCCAGGTGGGTGAAGGAGCTGCCGGGGAGCGGGTGCGGTAGATGAAATTTTGTGGGTGGATCTGCTGGACAAGGGGTGCGTTTTGCACCATTGCGGCTTTTGCTCCTATGCGTGGGGAGGGTTTGAAGGAGCGAGGATGACACCTTGGGAGTACTAGCCTGGCTGGGTTCGAGTCATCAGCTTTTGGTTCCTTCTGTGAGCTGGCATTGTGCATTTTTTTTTCCAGCAACCTCGTCTCATCAACGCGTGGTCACGATTGCTTGCTATTTCCAGCGGCTCGGCTTCCTTGTGTTTCCCTGCCTAGTCAACCGGCAAGCGACAGGATGGCGCCTTTGGTGACGATCGTGACGGGCAACTCCAACTCTGGAGCCCAGGCAGTGCACTCGCTGATGGGCAAGTATCGCGGGCAATGCCGAGTGCGAGCCTGCTTTCGCAGCGCCGCAAAGGCCGAGCCTTTTGTATCGGCATATGGCCAAGCAACTGATCTCTTCGAGTCTGTCGTGGGCATTGATGCCGCCGACCCCAAGTCACTTGTCCCTGCCTTTGAAGGGGCACGTTTTGCCGTTATTGTCACGCCGCATGACCACGCTCGCGGCATGGCCCAGGATGCGGAGCTGAGCAACAACATGATCGATGCCGCAGTTGCGGCTGGTGTGGAGCACATCATCTATGTCGGCAGCTGGACTGTGATTGACAAGTCGATGGGTGCCATCCCCGCTCGTTTCTTGGCTACCGAGGAGCATCTGCGTGAGCTGGGTGAAGCAGGTCGCGTGCGGTGGACCTCACTGCGCAGTGGTTTTTTCAACCAGAATCTCATTCTGATGCTGAAGCCTCAAATCCAAGCCAGTGGTCAAGTGTTCTTCCCCAACATCAAGGGAGCCCCTGTGGACCCTGGGGACATGGGTCGAGTGGCGGCCGCCATTGCCACCAGTGCCGACGCGCAAGTGCACCATGGTCAGTACTATCAAATCTCCGGCCCCGTGGTTATGACCACGGCCGAGATGACGACCAAGTTAGCAGCCGCCATGGGCACCACGGCCTCTTTCACGCCCGTGCCAGCCAGTAGCATGGAGCAAATTCCACCACCCGTGCGCGATCTGCTGGTCTGGATGGAGACGCACGACATTCCCTTTTCCGATGTCACTGCCCGCCTGACGGGTGGTGAGCACACCACGCTCGATGCTTGGCTGGAAGCCAATGCCGACCTGCTGCAGTGATAATAGGCTGAGATCGTCGCCCTTTCTCTTTTATTAAACGTGTGTACTGCGTGTGTATACGCGTGCGTGTGTGTTACTGATTCGTTGGTTGGCTCAATGCTTGGCTAAGCCAATGCCGACCTGCTGCAGTGATAATAGGCTGAGATCGTCGCCTTCTTTCCAGACGTGTGTACTGTGTGTATACGCGTGCGTGTGTGTTCAACAAAGATAATTCAATACAGCCTTGTATTTTTTTCTTCTGTTCAAGGTCTTGATGGCTCAGTGCCGTTCTCCGGCCGAACGTGCCGTCTTCCCTGCCGTCCTCCTGCCGTCAACTGTCAAATGATCGTGCTGACAATGACCGTAAGGGCGCTTTCAAGCGCAACTTCGAGCCGGAGTTGAACGCGGTCAGCATTCGTGTACATGAGCTGCAAATTGTTCAAAAGGGGAATCGAGTATCACATCCGCCTTGATATTATCCCAAAGTATAATTAATGTTATACTATTATGATAAGCAAGTGTGATAAAGTACAACATAGTGGCTTGTGCCATTTTGTCATCAAGCGAAAAGCAACACACAAACGAAAGAACCAAAGAAAGAACAAAAAGAAAGAACAAAAGAAAGAACAAAAGAAAGAACAAAAGAAAGAACAAAAGAAAGAACAAAAGAACAACAAGAACAAAAGAAAGAACAACAAGAACAAAAGAAAGAACAACAAGAACAAAAGAAAGAACAACAAGAACAAAAGAAAGAACAAAAGAAAGAACAAAAGAAAGAACAAAAGAAAGAACAACACCTCCAAAAGCCGTCAAGCCGGCAAAAGGGTCAGTGATCTTACTCGTTGACCATTACCAAGTGAAGGAAGGGGGGAGGTTATTTTATTTTTAAAGCGTTTAGGGTCGAGTCCGCGCGGCCTTCTTCAAGGGTACTGGACCTTTGAGTGATTTTGGCAGCCAGGCGCCCGACCTTCTCCTGGGTTGGGGTTTCCGAGAGTCATTGCATCGGTGCTGCGCTGTTGCTGCGTTGTGTAAGAATTACCGTTGAGATGACATCGCGGCCCGTTAGGGCCGTGGCCCTGTGGGCGATTGTGGCCGTGGTGCAGTTGAATGCAAACACGGCACGCGCCGTGCCTCTGGACGATGCCGTTACAACGACACTGGATGCTTCTCCAAATGAGGCCAATCCCATCCGCATGGTCGACCCCATGCTTCAGATCGATACCGTGGTTGTTCCCACTTTGCCCGAATATGCCGACTGGCCGCTTTTGCACAGGCAGCTTGATCAGACGATGGATCAGCTCCTTGAGACTGGCGTCGTCTCCTTACGCGATAGCACCGGCGAGATCGTCGTCTTGGATTCAATTGATGGAGCCGTCGAGGGCACAACCGTGGACAGTCTTCTCGCAGCTGGCTACTCGCTTGTGATCAAACCTGAGCATGAGCCCTCCTTGTCCTCGTCCATGCACGCATTTACCGTCAGCAACGTTATTTCTCAGCAGATCCAAGCGCATCTGGGTGTGGTCATGTCGGAACACTTTTACATCTCCCCGCCCAGCCAGCGGGCCCTGAGCCCGCATACTGATGGTGGCGATGTCTTTGTGCACCAGTGGGCTGGCAGCAAGCTTTGGACCCTCTGCGTGCCCAAAGCGCCCGATTGCCAGGATTGCACGTTCGCAGATTTGGCTCTCCGCGCCGAACTGGCCAAGTCGGCCTTCCAAGGTCTGTCATCGTTTCATTGTCAGCAGGCCCTCTGGATTAAGCGAGCTCGCTCAAGGTGCCTGATTTCCAAAACACTCGAGCAGTATATCTCTTTGCGCTGGACGGCAAATCACACTTTCACACTTGCTCACCCCTGTACACTTGCTTTGGCTGTCCCCGCCCAAAGGCTGCACCGCCTATACGGACGAACAACTTGCCGGAATGGAATGCCGCACCTTGGATCTGCAAGAAAATGAGCTGCTTTACGTTCCGCGCGGTGTCGTCCACTATGCCCGAGCCAACTCGACCGGCCTGAGCGCCCACGCCACCTACCAAGTGGTGCCGCCCTCTGCCACCTGGATCGACATGGTGGTCGATGAATGTAGCCTCGCAGCAACCACGCGGGCTTGCAACGAGTTGAAGAATCAGCTTCTCCAAGCCGACCTGGGTTTTCGGTGGCTCAACTTTCGCTTTAAAGACGTCCACGTGGCGCCCGTTCTGCCCAACAAACTCAACGCCTCGGAATATACGCTTCCCTCCACTCGCCTCGCCTCGCTCATTACCCGCCCGGCCTCCAATGACGAATCAGTCACGCGCACGGTTTGTTGATATGTTCTAGCCTGTGTCCCGATGTTGGTGTTGTGTGCTCGTCACCGCGTCCATAACCTTACATTCCTGAAAATCGCAGCGCCGTTCCTCGGATCGAGGCTACAGCGGCAGAGGTTGTGGCTCATGCAACCAACGTTGCGACGACAGCTGGTTTGTCATTGCTCACGATTTGACGCTGCCCTTGAGTGAGCGAGTATGCGGGCGAGTTGCCAGAGTTGTTAATCGGTACGCATTCAACATTCTGCTGTTTATATTTGCAGTGATGGGAGCTGCGATTGGGTTGTGGGCAGCTGCGATGATAGCTGCGATAGCAGTTGCGGTATGTCATGCCATCAATGTGCAGCGCCTTACACCGACCATTCCCTATCGTGCTTTTTGTGTCTTACCGTACCTTGCATTTCTGGCTTTGTTGGCAGACTCGGTCGTTTGCAACTCTGGTTGCCGTTGCCCTCAAGGCTGGGGCAGCCTATTCGGTTACTGCAATTGTTCGTGTCTTAAAATGGATTCCTCGTGTCTCTCTATGTTTGCAACGCTCAGGCGCATTTGCGCAGATAGTTTGCCTCATTTTCTTGTCTGGCGCTTTGTGTCTATGCGTGGGTCGTGTTTCTGTCTGATTAGCTTGTAACTCTGGGCTGGACACTGTCAACGATGTGTGCAGTACGTTTTGACCCGACATCCGAGCCTTGCTGCCGAGCCTTTCTGGCTCTGCCATTGGTGCTGGTACGCTCAGCCAGCGTTTGTTTTTGCTCACCATGGCTGATCACGCTGACTTGCAGGTACTTGCGGCAAGGGCACCTACCACGATATGGTTCGCTGTTTGAGCTGCGGTGCTGGTATGTGTTTATGTGCCATGCATTCCTTAGTGGTGCTAAGAGACCGTGACCATGCTGCACAACATACACTAGCTTTGAACCCCAAATCCACACCAGACCCCGAGCCTCGCCCTCTTCATTCGTGTTCTTCGTTTCCGAATTTAGGTACCTACCAGGACAGTGCCAGCCATCTTTCTACCTCATGCAAACCAAAGAGCCGCTGTCCTGCTGGTACTTACGACGCCAACGGTGGCAGGTACGGATGTTTTTGTCTGTATTTTTAGTGTTTGTCTGTATACCACGCCTTGTCGCCTTTGCTTTAGTATGATGGAGTCCTACTCTAACGTCCATCTTGTCATATCCCATCGCGTTGTCCCTGTCCAACGCAGCTCGTCTTCAAACACAAACTGCCTTGCTTGCCCGGCGGGCTCCTACCAAGATGCGACCAACCACCTGGAGACTTCTTGCAAGACCAAGACCAACACGTGCCCTGTTGGCCACTACGCCTCAAACGGTGGCAGCACTACAAGTGATCGCATCTGCGCCGTGTGTCCCGACGGTATGCCAATCCCTCGAACTGTCCCTGTATCATTTTGTCTCGGATACATGATTATATGCGCATCCCCCCCGGCCCTTTGTTTTATCAACCCGCTTGATAATCGTTGGTCAATTCCCAGGTACTTGGATGAATATCAATGGTAACTCAGCCCAGCAGTGCTATCAGAAATCTGTGCCATGCTCACCTGGCCAAGAGGTTTCAAACAAGGGTGACAAGACGGCCGACAACATTTGCGCCGCCTGCAGCTCAAGTGCGCACCATTTTTTTGTTTGCGCACTATTTCTTTGCCTGCTTGAAGGTGTTGGACACAACTGCTCATTGTCAACTCATTCTCCAACACCCGTCTCCAATGGCTTTGTTAGATTCATATCAACCCAGCCAGGGCTTGGCTGTACAGTGTACACGGAAGACTAACACTTGCAAAGCCGGCGAATATGTGACCAATCCAGATTCCCTGACCTCGGATTACTCCTGTGGTATCTGCGCTGCCGGTACGCCATCCCGTACTTTAGCCCTTCCGCCCCTCCACATCGTCCTTTTGGCATGACTGCGCGCTCTGACACGTTTGTACTTGCGCAACATTTCGATTGGATTGCACGGCATGATGGCGGTCTCGATCACCAAGGCACTGTTCAACCCAGCAGCTCACACACTTCCTCAACATGCCACGGTCAGGGCTTCCGAGTTGCTTGCTCACCCGTTGCCTCCGCCATGACCTTTTCCTCTTTGTCCTCCTTCGTTTTACGGCTCTACGCCCAGCTCTCCACGTTAACGTGTGTGCCTCACGACTTGTCGATGATTTTGATTCTGCAGCGTGTGCGGCCGGCAATTACCAAGCCAGTGCAGGGCAAACCTCTTGTTTGCCCTGCCCAGTTGACTCGTATTCTGATACCTCCGCAGCTACCTCGTGCAAACGTATGTTGATGGAGACCACTTCGTTTCCTCCTTTGTCGTAACCTTTTTGGTCTTCAGCACCAAAGGATGCTCTTCTGGGTATTGACTTGGCAACGTGCGCGCCCCTCATGCGTTCCCGTGGGCGTGTTCATCTTCCTTGTTCAGCTTGCGATCTCAGCCATGGCGCTTATCAGGATCAAACCGGTCAAACTTCATGTGACGGCTGTGGAGTTGGTACGTGTATTCATTCTGCTTCTCAAAAGCCTACTCAGATAAGCCATACGCAACGCCCTGATTGTATCGCTGATGCCTTAACTTGCGAAATTCTCAGGTTCGCGTCTGGATTTGACGACGTCAAGTTGCATCCCCTGTGCTGCTGGCAAATATCAAGGCCAGCCCTACAGTACTGTCTGCATCGATTGTGCAGCGGGCAAGTATAGCCTTGCGAGCGCGTCAGTGTGCTCGGCTTGCCCAGCTGGCACCTACTCGGAGCTGGCTCAAGCCTCGGCGTGTACACAGTGTCCCGCGGGCAAGTTCTCTGCCAGTGAGAATTCAATCTCGTGTGCCCGCTGCTCTGCTGGCACTTACCAAGCACAGGCTGGCCAATCCGACTGCCAGACCTGCCAAGCTGGCTATACTGTCAATCCCGATTTTACTCAATGCACTGGTGCGATTGACCCTCTGCTGGCACTGGATCGTTTTGGCATGTAGTTGCCAAATCAGTCGCGTACTGAGTTTCTGCCCTCGCCTTGTCTGATGTCTGACTTTTGTGCTCACTAGATGTCACGCCGCCCGAGTTGACGTTGGCCCCCAACGCCATCGTCCGGTTCGAAGCTCTGACCAATACTTTTGTCTATCCTACGGTGACAGCCACGGATACGAGTGGCGAAAGAATTGTCGTGACGCACACCAACAATGTTCAGCCAGGTGAGCCTCTACTTTCTTTCTTCATTCTTTAATCCTGGCTCTATGGCCTCTGGGGTCCTGCGTCGTCTGCATGCTTGCTTTATTTTTTGTGGTGGTCATGCGGTGTCTGAACGGCATATGCTTCCACTCATCTCCTCTTTGCCCATTGGCTTCTTCTTCTTTGAATCTTGCTTTGGCTAATCTTCAGACGAAGTCGGCACTTATGATGTGACCTATTCTGGCGAGGACAGTGCCAAGAACAAGGGTGTCTTGGTTGTTCAGGTGATCATCTTTGCGGCCCGAAAACCGGTCATCGTGCTTCTTGGCCCGGTGGTCATGACGCTCGAAGTGCACACTCGTTTCAACGACCCCATGGGCTATGTGATCGATGAGGGCGAACCCAACAACCTCAACAACACCCTAGCTAGTAACACAAGCGCTCTGGACATTGACACCCTCGGTACTTACTATGTCGTATATTCCATGCACACGCCCGACTCCCAAGGCCTGACCGCCTCGCCTGTGCGGCGCACCGTCCATGTCGTCGACACGACGCCTCCCGTAAGTGCCCCACCAACTTTGCTATGCGCTCATACACGTCAGTGGAGTCGTCTTTGTTGAGCAGCATCTCACTGTACGCTTATTGCTCACTTGCAATTGATGAATCACAGGTGATCTCGTTGACGCAGGGTGTCAACGTGACCGTTGAGGCGGGTTCCACCTGGTCCGAGCCTGGGTTTAGCATTCGGGATAACTACGATACCATGGCCATCGGCGACGTGACGGTGGAGCCTGTCGCGCTTAATCTCAAGGTGCCCAACGGCACGGTCCTCACCGTCGACTACATGGCTACCGATCGCAGCGGCAACGCCGTTTCCATCACACGCTATGTTCTTGTGCTGGATCGCCTCGCACCCACCATCACCCTGCTCAACGCCACCCGGCTGACTGCCGAGGCGGGTGACTTGTACTTTGAGTTCGATGCGGTGGCCGAGGATCAGTTGGATGATGATGTTGACCTGAGCATCACCTACCCAGATGGCGTCACCGTTGGTGGTGAATTGCAGCCTCCGTCTTTGCCCTTTGATTACAGCATTGTTTACACTGCCCGAGATGATGTTGGGAACACGGCTCATGCCACTCGCACCCTGACCGTGGTGGACACCAAGGCTCCCAGCCTTGAAGCCATCACCTCGGAGGTACACCTCGAGGCCGGTGCCGCCTATGCCATCAATGCTTCGTGGTATTCCGTGCGCGACAACTACAAGGCCACGCCCACCATCTCCACCAACGTGTCGGCGCTGCCGCGCACCCACGTGATGACGCCCTATCGTGCCAACGTGCAAATCACTGCCACCGATTCGCAAGGCAATCGAAACGCCACCTCGCTGCGAGTGCTCTTGGTGGATACTACCGCCCCCATGTTGACTTTGATCACCTCCAACGTCACCTCGGGCACTGATTTTAAAATTAGCGACCTCGTGACTGCCTACGACAGCAATGATGGGGTGTTGGACAGCGTTGTGGATATGAACACCCACGGTACGAACGTGCTTGATCTACCCTCAACCCCAACCTGCCCCGTCGATCGAATCCGTTCCGCTGCGTCCAACGCCTATCAGCAGGCGCGCGCGGAGCGCATTCGCAGCACCAACACTCAGGTCGTAGGTGATGCGCCGGCCGGCAGCACCTACACTGTCGACTTTATTGTCACCGATGCGGCTGGCAACTCTGACTCCCTGCGCGGCGTGGTACTTACACTGCGCGATGATACAGCGCCTGTCATTGCCACCTCGGGCACGCCCACCGACCAGATTGAATACACGCGCGCAGCCAACCAGCTCGAGCTGCCTCTCACTGCATCTGACAACCTCGATGGCGATATCTCTTCTTGGGTTTGTCTGAGCGTGGCACGTTATGCTCCGCGCACGGCCGAGAGGACCCCAAATGTCTCGCGAACCGGATTGCTCGAGCCAGTGAGCCACAACTTCAACGACTTTGCTGAGGCGGGTCGCCCTTGGGGTGCCTCGGGCGGACGCCCCTTGCTTCTTCTTGACGAGCCTGTGGGAACGCTCTATGTTGTCAATGCGAGTGTTATGGACGGAGCGGGCAACACGGCGACACGCACCTTCCGCTACCTCATCGTGGATACGACTCCCCCTGTCCTCACACTCACATACCCCGGCAGCTACCATGTGCCCTACGACACCACCTTTATTGATCCAGGGTTCACCGTGTTTGATGAGTCAGACGACTTGTCAGAGCACGTGCTCGTGTTGAATGCAGACCGTGTGAATCCGCGATTCCCTGGCACATACGTAGTTCAATACCGCACCAACGATCGGTATGGCAACCCGGCAGAGGCAGCGCGCTCCGTGATTGTGGACAACTTTACACTCCCAGCCGATGATGCCATCGTCACCATCGAGTATGCGGCGAGCATCAGCCTAGCACCTTTTGCGCGTGCCTTTGAGGAGCAGCTTCGTGGTGCGCTGGGCTATCCATACATCTTTGTTGTCGGTCGCCATGCCGGTGCCGACACAACTGAGGATCGATTCAACACGCTTCCCGGCTCGGCGTCTAGCAGCAGCTCCCGCCGTCGCTCCCTGCAGGCTGCCACGAACACTTCGTTCGAGCTGTGCATGCGCTCCACGACCACCCTTGCTTGGGTGCCAGCTGAGACACTGGCTGGAATTATTCGAGCCTGGAACAACCCCAATGTGACCGTGACCTCGATTCCTCTGCCCCCAGACCCCAACAACGCTGCCAGTGCCTCCACGGGCAACAAGAGTGGTGCTGACGCAGGGCTGATTGGCGCCATCGCAGGAGCTGCCGTGGGATTGGTTCTGGTGATCGTCTTGGTGCTGGTGGTGCTCCGACGCCGAAACAGCTCTGCTTCCAAGCAGCTCGCCGCGCCGTCATTCCAAGCCAACAGCCACAGCATGGCCAATCCTTTGTTTGACCAGGACGTGTCTGGCTCGGTCCAAGCTTCAACCTATAACCATCTTGCGCTTGACGGCGAGTACCAGGATGTGAACCCCGATGATCCGGGCTATGACGATTTTGAGGATCGTCCCGGTTTCGGCTCGGGCCCTGACGAGGATGACATCGATGGCGATGGCGGCTACTTTTACACGGATGTAGAGGGTGCAGCACCGGATGCCGGCACTGAACGCGCGCACGCCACCTTTGTGAATGAGGCGTACATGAGCGTCGACGATGACTTTAATGACAGTAACGAGTATCACGAGGCCGTGCCTCGGGCCACGATGCCGGACGACACCTATGGCGTCGAAGGAGATTACGCGTTGGCTGTTCCGTCGGGTGGGGCGACGGAGACCACGTATGGTCTCAAGCTGGGCAACGGTGCCTATGGGGCGGATAACGCTTATGACCAGCCCACTTTCATGGCCAGTACATCAGCTGAGTATGACGTTCCCATGTCTGCCGACGATAGCCAAGCGCTGGCCAAGGGTTATGCAGTCCCTTCAGTGCGAGATGGTCCGGCTTCGACCTCACACTACGATGTGCCTTTGTCCTCCATTACCGAACCTGCTCAGTATGCCGCGGTGAGCCATGACGAGGCCGAGCAGACACCGATGTATGGCGAAGGCGCAGCGCCCAAGTCCATGTCGCTGACGCTGCAGT